TTCAAGGCATGCTCGTTATACTTTAATCCTCTCTTAGAGAGCATATGTTGGAGGAGTTTAACCGCTGCTTCCTGCTCCTTAGCTTGCGTGGACCCCATCTCCTCCCCGGCCGCTCACCTGATCAGGGCGAGATTCCCAGGCTATTTTGCCTCTTAAGCGCGCTTATTCCTTTTTCCGAGTGCCGGGGCAGCACTCACCTCACGACCGGCCTTTCCGACCCCTCTTCTCGTCAGGTCGTCAGAATATCCAACGCTGAACTGAGGGTCCCTCTTTTGGGCGCCACTTGTTGACGCGGAAGCACGGACAGATACACCACGACCAATATGATCAGTGTAAATGCCACTTTATTGCACAGATAGCTCAGCTAATATAGACAATTTTCTCCCGCGCCACGCAACACTCAAGCAATAATTGGTTACATGCATAGTTCAAACAAGCATCTCTACTATATGATTGGCTAGCCCCAGCTGTTCACTCGCATAGTTATCTACTTCTATGTTTTAATTAAAATCCTGCTTATCAGTACATTCAGCAACAGTTCTTTCCTCCCTCAACATAACTCAGACGTTCACAAAACACAATTTGATCTTCGACATTCCTTGAAGCTTACACTGTCGTCAACAAGTTCTCAGTGCTTGGGGTGCTCACAGGGTGACCATTGATCTCTAAAAATTCTCCCACAATTTACAGATGTTAATACAAATACTACCTAGTATTTGTTTCTCCTCTTGTTGCTTGGGAGGCCACTGATGTTTGGATAATGTCAGAGTTGAGTTTCCAGTCATTCAACAGAATGACTGATGTTTCAGTTTTGAAATGTTTCTGTTTTAAACCTACTGGAAGGTAGGTTCTAATTCTGATGATATCTGACCTGCTTTTTCTTTACCAGCTTTTCTTCTTCTTGCAGATTCGATGGAAATACATGATAGTAGATGAAGGTCATCGAATGAAGAACCATCACTGCAAGCTGACTCAGGTCTTGAACACTCACTATGTGGCCCCTAGGAGGATACTGTTGACTGGGACTCCACTTCAGAACAAATTGCCTGAACTCTGGGCTCTTCTCAACTTCCTTCTCCCTACCATTTTCAAGAGCTGCAGCACCTTTGAACAGTGGTTCAATGCTCCATTTGCCATGACTGGAGAAAGGGTACTGCAACAGTTTGCTTAAAGTTTGTTAGAAACAAACCATTAGGATGGAAACAAAATGGAGGCCATGTTATAGGAATAGTCTTTGAACTCTTCTTTGTGCTCAGAGAATTAGCATACTTAAAAGCCACCTTTATTACAGCTTTAAAAGTCTTCATTAAAGTGCCTCTTTCTGGACTCTGAGTCAATTTAGTTGTAATACAACAAGTAATTACTGCAAACATTTCTAATGAGAAATAATCTAATCACAAAGACATTACATAACACACTGAGTTGCCTTGTTGTGACCTTTATAAACTTTTGTAGGTGGACTTAAATGAGGAAGAGACTATCCTGATCATTCGTCGTCTCCACAAAGTGCTCCGGCCCTTTTTGCTAAGGAGACTGAAAAAAGAGGTTGAGTCTCAACTGCCAGAAAAGGTTTGCAATAGAAAGGGGTTTTATACTTTTATTTTGAGCACTATATATTGTTTTTTGAGGTGCATCCTAGATAAGAGGACTTATTAAGTGTTCATTGTTGTTGTGGTTTGTGTTTTTAACTCTGCAAAGAAGAAATACTGGCCATTGAGGAATTCCGATTTCTGCATTCTCAGTCTTAATCCTCAGTCCTACAGCTTTAATTCTGTATGTAGCCACCCAAGGTTGATATAAGACATACAGCTTGTTTCTATAGTATTTGGTTTCAAGGCATTAATGAAAGCCAGTCATACACTGAGGGTCAGATTGTGCCACTCATTCACTGAGAAGAAACTTTGCTCGCTGAATTGTTTCACTGAAACTCCTAAAGGACTGTGTGACATTCATAAATTTAGCAGAATTTTAGTTAAATTTTCAGAACTCTTGAGTTGTGTGAAGTTTTTTGGTTTTCTTTTGTTTCTATATGTGTCTTAGCTAGTTTGTGCATCTCAGAATGTAAAATTCAACACTGATTTTAAAGACTACTATTTTAATTTCCAGGCATCTCACTCTACCCACACCCCTGCCCTCATCTGTGATTTTGAGTCTCCTTCCCCTTTCGCACTTCCCCCCAAACCCACAAAAACATAACCAAAAAAGAAAACTGAAGGCAGGTTGGGGGGACATTTGATACTTAAACCTACTCGGTTAAAACCATAACGAAAATCAAGATATTGTTACATGTGAGTTGTGAGGTTGTATTTACATTGAATGAATGAAGAGTTCTTTATCTGCATTTAAAAAAAAGATTTCTAATTAAAGACCTAAACATTTAGAATGTTATGAAGATTGTTGCTATTTTGACCTTCCCCCCCCCCCCCTGTCATATTCACAATAGCCTTTTATGTAGCATTTATTTGAGCTTGAAACATACCAGGAAAATCTCATTACTGAAATTTTTGTAAGTTGCATATGCACTGTTACTTAGTGGAGCACTTCTTTCATTTCTGTCCCTCTGTTTTCAAAACAAAGCATGTCTGACTTGAAGCATCAGACTTTTTGACAGGTTTATCAGCTGCTAAGTGGATGTTCATGTTTCTTACCTGTGAGCTCATCCTCCTGTCCTTCTGAGAAGAAAATAACCTATTGATTTTGTAGTCATAAAATCATATAGGTTGGAAAGGACCGCTGGAGGTCTCTAATACAACCTCCTGTTCAGAGCAGGTCACTCAGGACCTTGTCTAAGTTGAGTTTTGAACATCTCCAAGGATGGAGATCCCACAACCTCTCTGGGTTCCTGTTCTAGTGTTTGACCACCCTCATGGGAAAATTTTTTCATTATATCTAATCAGAATTTCTCACTTTCCAACTTGTGACCATTGCCACTTGTCCCTGTGCTGAATGTTTCCAAGCAAAGTCTGGTCCATTAGGTAGTTAAAGAAAGCAATAAGGTCTCCCTAGAGCCTTCTCTTCTCCAGGCTGAACAAGTCCAGCTCTGTCAAGCTCTCCTCATGTGTCATGTCCTCCAGTCCTATGTCCATTTTGGTGGCCCTCTGCTGGGCTTGCTCCAGTATGTCCACATCTGTTGTGTAGTGGGGAGACAAAAGCTGGGCACAGCACTCCAGATGTGACCTCACCAGTGCTCAATAGTGGGAAAGGGTTGCTTTCCTTGACCTGGTGGTTGCACGTTTGCTAATAAAGCTCAGGATGCTGTTGGTCTTCTTTGCTGCAAGGGCACATCACTGGCTCATGTTCAACGTTTTGTCCACCAGGACTCCAAAGTCCTTCTCTGCAAAGCTGCTTCCTAGTCAGTTGGCTCCCAGAGTATACTGGCATTATTCCATTCCCAGTGCAGGACTCGGCATTTCCCTTTGTTGAACATCATGAGGTTCCTGTCAGCCTATTTTTCCAGCCTGTCCAGGTCCCTCTGACCTGCACATTGAGCACTCCCCCCTCCTCCAATTTGGTGTCATCCACAAACTTGCCCAGAGTGCACTCTGTCCCATCATCCAGGTCATTCATAAAAACATCAAACAGTATTGGCCAAGTATTGACCCTTAAGGGACACCACTGATAACTGGTTGCAAGTTGACTACTACTGAGTAGTAGTAGAATCATAGAATCATAGAATCATAGAATGGTTTAGGTTGGAAGGGACCTTAAAGATCATTTAGTTCCACCCCCCCTGCCACGGCAGGGACACCTTCCACTAGACCAGGTTGCTCAAAGCCCCATCCAACCTGGCCTTGAACACTTCCCCGGGCAATTTGTTCCAGTGCCTCATCATCCTCATAGTGAAAATTTTTTTCCCAATATCTATTCTAAATTTACCCTCTTCCACTTTGAAGCCATTCCCCCTCATCCTATCACTACATGCCCTTGTAAAAAGTCCCTCCCCGGCTTTCTTGTAGGCCCCCTTCAGATACTGGAAAGCTGCTATAAGGTCTCCCCGGAGTCTTCTCCAGGCTGAACAACCCCAACTCTCTCAGCCTCTCCTCATAGGAGAGGTGCTCCAGCCCTCTGATCATCTTCGTGGCCCTCCTCAGGACCTGCTCCAACAGGTCCATGTCCTTCTTATGTTGGGGGCCCCAGATCTGGATGCAGTACTCCAGGTGGGGTCTCACGAGAGCGGAGTAGAGTCACCTCCCTTGACTTGTTGGCTCACGCTTCTTTTGATGCAGCCCAGGATACGGTTGGCCTTCTGGGCTGCGATTGCACATTGCTGGCTCATGTTGTACTGGATTTGTACCCTTTGAGCCTGGTAATCCAGCCAAATTTCCACCCACTTTATTGTCCACTTATCCTGTCCGTATCTCACTAGTTTATATAGTTATAAGGATACTATGGAAGACCATGTCAAAGATCTTACTAAAATCAAGGTAAACAAGATCCACTGCTCTCGCCTTTACACAGCCAGTCATCTCAGCATAGAGGGCAATCAGTCAGGCATGATTTCCCCTTGATAAATTTATGCTGGCTGTTGCCAGTCACCTTCTTGACCTTCATGTACTTGGAAATGTCTTTAAGAAGGATTTGTTCCATAAGCTTCCCAGAGACGACAGTGAGGTTGACTGGCCTTCAGTTCCCTTGATTCCCATTCTTGCCTTTCTTGAAAATGGGTGTGACATTTGCTTTTACCAGGCATTCAGAACCTCCCCTGATCAACATGACCTTTCAAAGATGATAGAGTGACCTCACAATGACATCAGCCAACTCCTTTTGCTGCCTTAGATGAATCCCATTGCTCCTATGGACTTGTATATGTCAAACTGGTTTAAGTGGTATCTAACTGTATCTTCCTCTACTATGAGTAATGCTTCACTCCCCCAGACTCTGCCACTAGGCTCAGAGACCTGTGCGGCCTGAGGACAAGCCTTACCAGTGAAAACTGAAGAAAAAAAAAGGCACTGAGTACATCAGTCATTCCTGTGTCCTTTGGCACTAGGTCCCTTGCCCCATTGAGCAGTGGGCCTCTTTTTTCCTTAGCCTTCCTTTTACTGATGGTGTACCTATAGAAGACCTTCTTGTTGCCCTTCATATCCTTCTCTAGTTCCAACCTGAGCTGATCTTAGGCTTTCCGAACTTCATCCCTACACTCCTGGGCAATGTCTCTATATTCCTTTCAGGTAGCCCATGTCTATCGCCACCTTCTGTGTGCTTCCTTTTTGCATTTGAGCTCAGTCATGTTCATCCCCGCTGGCCTTCTGCAGTGCTTGCTTGACTTCTTCCACATCATAAGAAGCAACTTCTGCTCTGAGGAGGCTGTCCTGGAAGATTATCTACCTCTCCTTGGCCCCATTGCCCTCCAGAGCAGTCTCCCATGAGATCCTGCCAAGGAGATACCTGAACAAGCTGAAAACTGCTCTCCTGAAGCGCAGGGCTGTGATTCTATTTGTCTTGCTCACTTCTCTCAGGATCTAAAACTCAACCATCTCATGGTCACTGTGGCCAGTACAGCCCTCAGCCTTCATATCTTGGAGCAGTTCTTTGTGTATGTCTCCCATGAGCTGTGTAAAGAAGGCTTGATGTGCTTCCTTTTGTTGATCAAAAGGCCTTTAGCAGGTGCCTACTACAATAGCACCTGCACTGGTTTGTCCTCTGATCCTTACTCATAAGCTCTCAAATGGCATGTCAACTGCTCCAAGGCAAAGCTCTCTGCATTCGAGCCCCTCCTGTGCATAGGGCACAATCCCCTGTCCTCACCTTCCCGGTCTGTCTTTCCTGAAGACCCTGTACCTATCAATGGCGGCACTCTAATCATGTGAGCTATCTCCCACATCTCTGTAATCCCAATGAGATCAAAGTTTTGCAAATGTGCATGGATTTATAATTCCTCCTGTTTGTTGCCCATGCTGCGTGCGTTTGTGTACAGGCACTTGAGATGGTCCCCCATCATGCTGCTTTCATAGGGGAAGCACAAGAACCTCCCAAGTCGTGCTGTCTCCCAGACACTTCTTTGCTGCCCCCATGCCTTCGCTTTTCTTCAGGTAATGACAAACCTTACCTGATGTACTGAGTTGAAAGCTTTCCTCACTAGGTTAATGAAACTGTTAGCAAAGATATTCTTTATTTAGTTCATTGAACAATAACTGGAATTACAGTTTAGATCATGTCAGAACAGAAGCAGTTTATTACTATAGCTATAGGAGAGAACACAAAGCAGCAGAGTGATAGACTGCTGATATGAACTCTGCCCAAATGGGGCATTTACAAAGTTTATATACCTTTGGGTTAAACAACTCATTCTTTACCAAATCATGTCAGAGAATCAGGACTATAGTAAATTGCAATGAAGAGCAGTAATGTGGATTACTTCATATAGGGAGGCTCCAAACAGTCAGATAAGGAAGCTCTAGACAGTACCTCTTTTTTACAAATAATTCACTCCTTTGTTAATTAAGTTGTGCTGACTTGGTGAAGCCATTAGATCATGCTGACATGTATTTTTTAACTAGTGAGGACTCCAAAGACCTATGAAGTGTTAAATATAACTGTTAACTTCCACAAGTTTTATTTATTAAGCATCTTGCTTTTTTTTTCATTTAATCATTTCTTGCATTATTTTTCACCATTATTCTGGCTTTATTATGTGACTATTTTCATTTTAGCCTAGTTATTAAAGACAGTGAAATATAAAAGCCTGGCAGTCGAAAAAAATGTGTGTTAAATTGGTACATGAAAACTTTTCTTGTGTTACTGGATTTAAGGGTGGTGTGCAGTCAAAACATTCTGAAACTAGCTTATTTTAATCATATTTAACAAGAAGTCAAAATTAATTTGTTGATCATACTCTACTTCATTAGTTCCCCTTTTTTTTAGTAGATATTGAGAAAAAAAATAGCATGTTTTCATCCCCACATTGGTAAGTAGAATACTACTTAGGACTGTAGGTGATGTTATTTATTTTGTGCCAGTTTATGCCAGTTGTGATTGATGCTTTGCAGATGTAATAAATTTCACAGGTTATGAGGCATTCAGTCTTTTGGCAGTTGGTTAAAATTATAAGAAGAAAGAAACAGGAAATAATAATTCATTTTTTATATGTTTGTAAAACAGTACTGAATCTACAGTCATGCCCTTAGAACGTGTCTTGTAGTAATCATAAATCCCACAGTTAATCATTTCAAATAGTCATTATTATTCTTGCAAGTGGATTGCAACTTGTTTAAAGGTGTTGTTATCATGAGAATCAAAGAAATATAGTTTTTGTTTTATTTGTTTAGGAGGGCAAGGACTTGGAATTAAAATCATACCAAAATGATTATATCTTGGTAAAACTTGACACTGTATTTGTTCTGTTTTTACACTAGGTTGAATATGTAATCAAATGTGACATGTCAGCTCTTCAGAAGATTCTGTACCGCCACATGCAAGCCAAGGGAATCCTTCTCACAGATGGTTCTGAGAAAGACAAGAAGGTACAAAGTGTTAACAACATGACTTCTTTAAAAAAAAAAAAGAATAAATAGGTTCTTACCACAGATATCTTTGAAGAAAGAAATCTCAGACATGTTTGTTTTAAAAGACAGTAGTTTCTGGTCTCCATTCATAAGGTAAAAATATGATGAGTTTAATCCAAAAAAAAACCTGACTAATTGGGATTGTGGCAGCACTAACTACTAACGGGTGTTCATCTTTTCTCTCAGAGACGTTATTAAGCACAAATCTTGTTTTGGCCAGCTAGGTTATGAGTGCCTCTGTTCATACATACAAATAACATCTGTTCATGCAAAAAGGTGTTAAAAGAAAAATAAGATTCAAAGTCATTTATTCATACATTAGAATATGCCAAAATAAATTTTGACTTTTCTATCTTAGGACTTTGGCACATGGTCAAGTTATTGTAGAGAAGACAAGTAACCATGCATCAGCTTGTCTGTAAATACATATTTTACATTGCACTAGATGTGAGGTAGGTTGGATTTATCATGAGATTCCTGAGAATAAGGTCATGTAGGCACTTAATACAGAGCATCAAACGTGAGCCAGCAATGTGTTCTTGTGGCAAAGAGGGCCAATGGTATCCTGGGCTGCCTTAATAGGAGTGTTGCCAGCAGGTCAAGGGAGGTGATCCTTCCCCTCTATTCAGCACTGGTGAGTCCACATCTGGAGTGCTGTGTCCAGTTCTGGGCTCCCCAGTACAAGAGACAGATAGAGCTACTAGAGAGAGTCCAGTGAAGGGTCACAAAGATGATGAAGGGACTGGAGCATCTCTCCTATGAGGAAAGGCTGAAAGAGCTCGGACTCTTCAGCCTGGAGAAGAGAAGGCTCAGGGGGATCTTATCAATGTATATAAATACCTGAAGGGAGGGTGCAAAGATGATGGAGCCAGGCTCTTTTCAGTGGTGCCCAGTGACAGGGCAAGAAGCAATGGGCACAAGCTGAAACACAGTATATTCTGTGTGAACATCAGGAAACGCTTTTTCAGTGTGAGGGTGACTGAGCCCTGGAACAGGTTTCCCAGAGAGGTTGTGGAGTCTCCATCCTTGGAGATATTCAAAAGCTGTTTGTACATAGTCCTTGATAACCTGCTCTAGGTGGCCTTGCTTGATCAGGGGGGTTGGACCAGATGACGTCCTGAGGTCCCTTCCAACCTCAAACAATCTGTTGTTCTGAGCAGCAGGTGTGTAACAGCTTGTGTGTGTGCCAGTCCCATATATTGGCCCCATTATATGTGTTTTCATGATACAATATGATGGCATACTATTTTTCCACCTGCCTCCTGTCAATTTCATTGTCACAATGGATGATATTTTTGTTCAATATCTTATTTTGTTTTAACCTCTATTTGTTGCGGTCTGATGTGTTATTTACTGTTGAGTATTCAAACCCTGTTTTAAAAACAAAGTTAGTCCTTTCCTCATAGGATCTTCTATGACAGTCATCTCTATATAGGTTCTGAGTACTTTGCAAACATTGGTTTACTTTCTTTTCTTGCATTTTTAATGTAATATTTTAGCTGCCATTTTTTTAAGCTTTAGAAAATGTCATTTGTCACATTTACATCCAAAGGAGGTCATCAGAATGATTGGAAGTTTAGAAGCAAACTTTACAAAGACCTATGCTAGAGGTTTGAGTTACGTGAATAACTGATAGCAGTTGCCTTTTACAATGCAACATTTGATGTAGTTGAGGGTTTAATACATATTTGATGACAGAAGAGCAGTGAGACTGTGGAGTCTTCAATTTGCTCTAAGATCTGGAGAAAGGGTACTTGAATGGATGTTGTCCCTCCTGCTCATCTTCCCTATTCCTGACTTGACTGTGATGCCTTTTACCATAACCACTTTGACTGGTCCATGTCCAGTCTATTTTCTTCCTCATCTCAACATCTTCTGCTAGTTCAGTTCTCTGTGCCTAACTAGGCCCAGTTTTCTGGCACAGCCATTCCTGTTGCCCTTCCTCCGACTCAAGATTTGTGTGCAGTCACCTTACTCAACTAAACAGAGGTCAGCCATCTCTATGCCCTCATTCCCTGTTCCCAGTGCACCTCAACAGGTTTATGTCCACCTCAACGTTGCCTATCTTACATCCTGTTCCTTGTTCTAACTTCCTCCCCCCCCC